GGGCAGAGTTTAGATCTACTCATTTAATATGTGCATCAAAGCTAAAACTGATGTTTATTGTATTGCTTATACAGCTGAGTAATTGTTTAATTTTCAGTTCTTTATTAATGGAAGATGATCAAGAGTCAATGACACATCAGCCTCAATCTTGCTTATCATCATGTATCAGTAAATATATGTGGCAGGGTTGCTGTCAGGGGATGCTGTACCTGTGATAGGTACCATAGATGGTGAATGGGGGTCCTACGCTCAAAAATGTTGTCCTAGTAGTCCCTTGATGTGTCATAAAATCACAAAATGTGCTGCTTAATGAGGGGTCAACTAATTGGCTAGTCATCAGACAACCAACTAGTCATTTAGTGAGGTTAACTATTTTATCCAGATCTGTTTACCATTTAAAAGTTTGGGATAAGTAAGATTTTTAAATACTTGTATTCAGCAAGGATACATTCAATTTATCAAAAATGACAGTAGAGATTTATAATGTTACAGAATATTTCTGTTTCAAATAATTGCAAATATCCACAAAAATTGTTTTATTTAGCCTTGATAATAATAATAATAAATGTTTCTTGAGCAGCAAGTCAGCATATTATAATGATTTCTGAAGGATCATGAAGTGACACTGAAGACTGGAGTAATGGCTGCTGAAAATGCAGCTTTGCCATCACAGAAAAAAAATTATTTTAAAGTATATTAAAATAGAAAATATTTCTTTTAAATTGTAATAGTATTTTAGAAAATTACTGTTTTACTGCAGTGTTGATCAAATAAATGCAGCCTTGGTGAGCATAAGATGCTACTTTCAAAAACATTAAAAATCATATCACTTATATTTGGTTTATACTGTATATTTATTCACTCAAAGGCAAAGTAAATCACAATTTACCACAATTTAAAAATGAAATAGACATTAATAATAGGCTGTCCTATTGATGTAAACAACTGAATAATTGATAAAAGAGGTGAAAATAGAGTCTCTATTCTAAGTAGAATCTATACATCTGCACTTTTCACATTGCCATTATTAGGGTCCGTTCTAATATACAGTACCTTTCATATGCAGGTCTGATTTCAGAGGCCAAAAGGTTGATAAACAGACCATCAGAGAGCAAGAGCACAAAGGCAGCAGCTCGCTATAGATAGAAATTCTCCTCTGTAACCTTTGCATCTTGAAATAAAAACACTCACTTGTTTCTCCATAAACCTAGTCGGCCATTTACTCCATACCTGTGTTTTATTTAATATCAGTTCTCACTGCTCTGTTTGCAAACGTCAGGCTAGGCCTGAGAGGTGAAAGAGTTAAAGACACAGCAGTAAAAAGACACGGATGTTCTGTCACATTGAGCAGCAGCTGCTGAAAACAGCCCTGTATTCAGGCTGACTGATGTAGATTGCTGCAAGCATCTCCACTCCAGCTGGAATACAGACCTCATATGGCATATTCTGATTTGCTTCCAAATTCCACCACTCATATTATAAGCCCAATAGAAGCCCGTTTACCAGGTGTTAAAGGTTTTATCACCTACAGACCAGTTAAATCGGTGAAATCTCAAACCTGCCAAAGCCAGAGGTTCTAAGATGTTTGGATAAACAGAAGCTCTGCTGGCTGTTGGATGAAAACAGGCCAGTGAGGTACTTAAAGCTGAAGCGTATCATTTCTGTTCTTCATGGTTCATCAAATGTAATAGCAAAAATCATGACTGTTTCCAAAAAGGTTTTCTGAACATTCCTCCTGTCTATTATTGTTTGATCAAACAGATCCTGCCTCAAATGCATTCCACTGGTTGAGCCATTGTTGATGTGATGAGTATTTTGGAAAAATAGTACTTTTTGCAGATCAACCTCATACTTGACTCTGTGTAAGTTGTGATTGGAGTGCTTTTGTCAAAAATTGTTATATTGGCCAAAATTTGATATTTAATTTTATGCATTTTTATTGTATTTATTTATTTATTTATTTATTTTAAACAAATTTTTTAGAAAATAATCAATAAGTAATTAGGTAATAAGTACTAGTAAGTACTTATCTTGCAGGATCTGTCTTCTGCTTTTGACACGGTTAACCACCAGATCCTCATGTCAACCCTTTTGACAAAGGGCACCTCCACGCTCCAGTGGTTCCAAGTCTTACCTCTCAGATAGGTCCTTCAAGCTATCTTCTTGGGTGTGGTGTCTAAATTGCAGCATCTAGCTACTGGGGTGCCTCAGGGCTCAGTTCTTGGACCACTTCTCTTCTCTATCTACATGGCATCACTATGTTTTGTCATTCAGAAAAATGGCTTTTCATATCACTGCTATGCTGATGACAATCATCTCTACCTCTCATTCCATCCTGATGATTTGACAATAGCGGAAGCTTGGAGTTGTGATTGATGATCAGTTAAATTTCACAAACCACAATGCTAAAACTGCCCAGTCCTGCAGATTTGCCTTATACAACATTAGGAAGATCAGGCCCTTTCAGTCGGAACATGCTACACATCTCCTTGTTTAAGCTCTTGTTCTGTCCAGACTGGACTATTGCAATGCTCTCTTGGCAGGTCTTCCAGCCAGTTCTATCAAACCTCTGCAACTAATCCAGAATGCAACTGCAAGAGTAGTCTTTAACGAGCTAAAAAGAGTGTGTGTCACACCTATGTTCCTCAGTTTTTTCACTAGCTACCAATAGCCGCTCACATAAAATTAAAGGCATTTATGATTGCCTACAAAACAACCACTGGCCACTTAACCTAAATTTACTACTTCAGACTTATGTGCCCTCCAGAAGCTTGCGTTGTGCAAGTAAACGGCACATGATAGTGCCATCCCAAAGAGGCCCAAAATCACTTTCACAGACTTCTACCCTGTTCCCTGTTGGTGGCATGACCTGCCCAGCTCGATCCAAGCAGCTGAGTTTTTAGGCATCTTTAAGAAATAAATAAAGACACTAAACTAAAGACATCTCTTCCATCTACACTTGACCCTCTAACACTTGCAATCTCTATTCTATTATGATTCTAACTACTAGTTTTGTTTTTATTAATTAAAAAATATAATAACATGACCCTCTAACACTAGCTCTGTCTATTCTATTACTATTCTATCTACTTTTTATTCTTTTTAATTATTAATTAATATAATTCATATATATAAACAGGTTTGTTTGAACGCTTTTGTCACAACAACATAATCATAAGGTCCCCATAAACATAAACTAGATCAGAATAGTAGACAAATGGGGCTTTATTTGTGTCTGATTCAGTCAGATAGATGCTGCTTATCTTGCACCAAGGAACGAGGTTGCTGAACTCTTGAGAAGGGTATAACTGCAGCCTGGAGATCTCCAAATGGGGGCGGGACTCCAAAACGGGGTGGGAGCTCCAAAATAGGGCGTGGCTTCCTTCCATTGACAGACAGGCACATGACACACATGTGCAATTTTTTACCCCAATCCACTTCAGTGCAAACTCCGCCCCACAGCTGATTCTAAAGTTTTTATTGGTTGTGTCAATTAAAGTGTTGATTTCCTACACTATGCTACAAAAAATGCTAACCCCTAAACACCTGACCCTAACCTTAACCAGTGAAATTGACTGCACGGCGGGATTGGTGCTGAATAGCGTGGTAAAGAAAGTTGCAGTTCAGGAGATAAACAGTTAATAAGATTATGCGATATGAGATCGTTCCGTAACTCCCCAACCGGACCTCACCGGACAATGGCACCTTTTTAGTTACACCCAGCGTCACTACCCCCTCCTACACTGCAAATTCCATGCCCTGGGACACCCCCGTTGCTTGGAACAAAGCGATAGAGTTAAATCTTTCCCCTGCGCTGCGCTGAGACGGCTCGCGGGAGAGCTCGTGGGTGATTCCTGTTTATATCAAGAAGCAGAGGTTCAAACTCCGGTCCGAACACCACTGGCCACGAGCTTTGGGCTCTGCTCTCACTCACGGAGCATATTTATTTATATAGCATATTTTATTTTAGATCAACTAGAAACCATGTTTAATTTAAAAATGTTTTATTTTGAAATGTAAGTCAATAACAATTGGCCGAAGCCAGAGCCAATGGTGAAAGTCTTTGCGTGAAGAGACCCCGCCCCATTTTGGAGGTTCTGCCCACTTTTGGAGTTCACGCCCCATTTTGGAGATCTCCGGTCTGCAGTTATATCTACTTGGAACTTTTCCTTTAAACCTGCCTCCTGGTCCCCTGGTGGCGCTGTGAGTAAAGCATGAGTGATTTATGGGTGGAAGAAAATGCAACACCAGTATTCAGTGCTCCACAGAGTCTCTTTTATGGCTGTGCTGCTGTTAGGGGAAGTGATGGAGTGAACAGCCCCTAGAGACAGGCATAGCGTTCTTCCCCGTGTCTGTTGGGAAACAAGACAGTTTGCCATCCACGCAGCTCCATATGAATGCAAACTAAAAATGGTCATGGTGAATAACCTCACATGACTGTAAAAGGAAGGTTTTTTTTTTTTTGCGTGTGACTAGGATGCATGTGTTACTGTCAGTGCTGAACAATAGTTATAGCCCACACAACTGAGAAGAATGATTATCCTATTGTTCTTCCTTTCTAATTAGCATGCCCAAACTATGAAGATTATGCAATGTTTATGTAAAAGTATACATTTCAATCATTGATTATGCACAAAAAATGATCATAGTTCCATCTCAAGGGTTTTTATTTGGAAGTTGGAAGGCAGTGCAGAGTTTTAGGTTCAGAGTGTATCATTTTCACTGCTGGTCATGTAGCTCTTGTACACACTCATTATTCTAGTGCATACTCAAAGTTATAGTCCTAAAATAGTGAATTTTCCAATGCAAATGGAAAATTCAAGCCCTACATCAAATGCACTGGCCTAAAAACACTTATTTGTTGAAATGTTACTTTTTGCTATATAAACTGTATATAAAACCCTACTATCATATAACATGCTGTGAAGTGTCCTTACTCCCACAGTGTACTGTTGCTTTTTAATCATACTCATCCTTTTTTCCCTCTCTTCTTTCTTTAGAGTTGCTGGGCTCTGCCAAGAAGGTGAACGTCAACTTCCAGGACACTGATGGGTGAGTGGGACATATAAGGACTTTATATGGCTCCATGTGGCAGTCTCTTGTAAACATGATCGTTCCTGTCTGACTGCCAAATATCCTCGGGATCTGCCAGAGCTCATGTGTGCTTGTTGGTTTAGAAAAACTTTTATCCAAGTCTCTTTCCCAGTCACTCTCTTTTTTCTGTTTATCCCACTCACTTCCATATACATTATTGTTTGTTTATTTCTTTCTTAACGCCAATCCAGTATCTATGGTTATGTTCATGGCGAGAACCAGTTAATCCATACACAAGTCCATATACATTAAATAATCGTATCAATCCATAACTGCTCTTTAATTTGTCATTTAATTAATCAGTGCTTAATTGTATACAGTGGTTATACAATGTGGCATTTTTGTAAATAAATGTATCACAGACACTTTTTTGAGTAAAACATAAAAAGTAGTTTATTACATTTTAAATTGTAAAGGGGTATGCTCAAAATTAAGACAAAAGAATTTGAACCCTATTTGGTTGTCAACTGTTAATGAAACATGTTACTACTCTATATCTATTTTTTTACTGCTGTCAAATTGTTGTCAAAAGTTTTTGTTTATATAATATATGAGTGTGTACTGTGTATATTTATTATGTATGTATAAATACAAACACATGCATGTATATATTTAAGAAAAATATGTTGTTTATATATTAAATATATTTATATATAATATGAAATATAATAATATAAATATATACGTCAATATTTTCTATATATATATATACTGTATGTGTGTGTATTTATATATACATAATAAATAAACAGTACACATACATATATTATGTAAACAAAAACTTTTATTTTGGATGCGATTAATCGCGATTAATCGTTTGACAGCACTTTTTTTTTTCCATTTGAAATATAACTTCTTTTTGGCATGATAGTTTTAGTTAGAAATAAACAAAATACTAATACATTCAAGGTTCTTGCTTTATATTAAGCCTATTATGTTTTTTTATTCAGAGCTGTTCGATGAGATTTGGCAGAAAAGGTCTGTAAACATTGAAAAATAAAACTCTATTACTATTTTATGTTTAAACCACAGATGGCAACAGAGAGTCCACTATTCTGTAGTATACATTTTAAAATGTGGCTTAACTGTCCAAATGCTCTTTGGGACTGTACATTGCACAGCATAATTGTATGTCGATTGCTGATAAAATCTAGCTAGATTATGAGTATGACATATTTGCTCTTATCCAAATTGCTTCTGCCACATTCAATAACTCTTTCAGCCACCCTTGATGTTTGTTCAGTTCTATCCAGCGTGTTTCAGAGGCAGGGAGCATTGTGTTATTTGTGCTAGCGTCACAGAGAGTTTGTCAGAATCAGCCATTTGTTGGGCTGCTTTGTTCCAAATATCCTGTAGACATTTTCCCCCCGGATGTTGTAATGGTGTACAATATTGGTTGTTAATCATGCACTCTACTGTACTTTTTCTTGAGTAAAGAAGAGCTGAAAAGAAGACTCTGTGTTGAGATATAATGCAAACGGTGGTTTGTGGTTTGACACAGAGCAGAAAGACACCTGAATTGAAGCATAAATGTTTCTAGTGCTGCATGGTCAGTTATTTCTGTTGATGCAGCTGAAAAAAAAAACATTAGAATAAAAAATAGGGATTCAACAATATTAATGGATCTAGTCAAACCAAAGATGTAAACTGATTCTCTGGGATTTCATTTTGTCAGAGTGCCATACAAATACATAGCCTACAATGAAGAAAATGTGAGCTTGGGAACAATTGACTCTTTTGAACGATGTTGACCTGAACGACCATCTTTATCTAGTAGGGGTGTGCGATACTGACAACAAATTACATCTTAGTATTTTGGGGGATTTTATTATTTTTTTTTTGATAATAATTAAACAAAATTGTGTAATTCTGTGTATTAAAAAAAGTGCGTTTTTGTGGTGGTACCTTGACTGATTAGACCTATGGTGGATAAATAAATATGACTCTAAAACCACCAGTAGGTGGCGGTAAGTCCCTGTTTTAATGAGTGATTCATTGAATCATTTGTTTAAACGATATGTTCAAAATGGCTGATTCATTTAGAAACGAAGCAAGCAACTGTCTTTATGAATGGATCACTGAGTGACACATCGTCAAAACAATTACAGTATTTTAATAGACGATAAATATTGCACACCCCTGTTATCTAGTGATACTGTCAACTTTAAAAACATTTGGAGCCAATAGGTCCCTTTTTTGTCTGTAGTCTTTTCAGTCAGCCTTTTCTCCAGCCATTAAAGGCGTTGTGGCGAAGACAGAATTTCACAGAAATTGCACCTCACACACAAAAGCACACTCATACACACGGTGGATGGGCAGGCTGCCATAAACACTCATTGGTTCTCACATGCGCAGACGGATAGGCAAACACGCACTGACTCACTCTCACACATATGCAGTCAGGTGCATACATAAACATCATCTAACAAAACCACCCTTACACCAATCACAACAACATCGTTAGACTTTTTCAAATGACCCAAAAATACAGCAGGGGCCTGTCCTGCTTAGAGCTCAGAGATCCATAGATCAGAGGCTATTTTATTTTGCTGTAGTCTGTCAAGCTGTGAAACCGGCAGAATAATTAAAAAAATCTCTTCTATTGATCACTGTCACTGAACAACGGTGGCATTCATCATCACAGCTCTGCTTCATGGGTTTTAAGGAAATGAAAGCTGTAACTCTAAACCGCTGAATACCTCCACGCAGCCCGAATCCTCACCCATGTACAGTATTTACACACGCAGCCTTCCTCAGGCCGAGCTCACATTTGTATCAGCGAGATAAATGACTCGCACATTAATTCCTTCTCCATAGACTATTGCTTTCTTAGCAGAGATGAAATTATGTTGTCTGCTGAGTGGAGAATAGAGCAGCAGCAGTGAGAAAATAGAGTGTGGAATGAGGGATGTCCCTGTTTTCTGAGGTTAAACTGCCAGTTGGATGGGTGGTGGTCCTTCTAGCCTTGAAATGACAGTCAGACATCAACATCACCCTCCCCTGCGATCGCTTTAATATCTCGCACCCTGTGTGATTGTGAGGCCCTATGAATGTTACACTGAGGAGCTGCACATGGATCAGCTACAATGTCTTAAATTTAAATTATATGAGTAAAGTTAGTCTTTAATATTCGCCAATAAGATTAGTCAGTAAGATTCCAGTGACAAGCACTTTGTCTGTACAGACCAGACATGACAGCTATGTGACACAACAAAATTAATCAAACATTACAGCCAAACAGAAGCACATG